ACATAATTTGATTGAATTAAATTTGACACGAGAGGAAAAAATTTTTACTCATATAAACGTTAAAAAATGTCTTAAAACGCCATTTTTGTTCACGAAGAAAATTAAAGACAAATAAAAGTCTATTACACGATAGTTTCTTTTGCATTGGAATTTTTGAAAAACAACAAGATTAGCACACTCAAGATTTCAGTAGCATATTTAAGGTAGTCGAGTTGAAAAGAATCAGAATAAAAACTCGTCGAACGTTTGTGTTTGTTTTGGGGTTGCTGTGGGGGTTTTCTTTATCTTTCATTATTTTATTTTTACTTTAATTAATTATCTCACAACAATAACTTTGCCACACTAGGGCAATGTCTTGCTGACCTATCACGTTGCCATTATCATTATACCTATCACGTTGCCCACATCATTGGACCTATCACGTTGCCCACATCATTGGACCTATCACGTTGCCCACATCATTGGCTGGAGGAGAGCTTTATCCTATCTCTTGATAAAAGTCTTTCCAAAATGAATAAAGTCTTTACTGTTAAACTTCTTGACTTGAATTCATTCATACATCTAGTGTCTCACATAATCTTAAGGCACACTTAATACGAGTACTGAATTTTATCATCATCTCGCATATAAAATCATATCTATGCTTATCTTTATCACGCCAAAAGATGCATTAACCCCTAGTTCTTGACGCGAATCTTTTATTATCATTCCATCCCGGTGCTACATAATTTTTAGAATTGGCAATGTGGACAACAGGATTAATAGCGTCTGCAATGGCTTTTACAACATCACGCTACAAAATATCAACCGCATTTCTATCCTCAGCATGAAAACAGCGTTGTATAACACGGCTTCATATTTTGTGACAATACCCAATGGGTAATTTGTCTCTCAGGCATGCTCAGGAATAAAATCTCGGACCAATGCCTCCCTGATTTGGATATAGTTCAGCATTTCCACAATGCATGTTAACCGATGACATGATCTTCATCGTGAGTTTATATTTGGAGATGTTTTGGATTAACATATGATCTGTTTGGATTTGTTTACATTAGATGGTTTAGTACTGACAAATAAATGATGGTACTATAAAGAGTCAATAACTGATCTGAATTACGAGTCTTATGGAGTGATGGCTGACGGACAGTTAGGCAAGCATAATACTAAGTGCCAAATGTGTATTTGTGATAAAAGGGATAACAAGAAAGAAACCTGGCATAAATGCAATGGAAGCACGAAAATGTGGTATTGTGCGAGGAGCCGAAAAACTTTCTGAAATTACACACATGTAAGAGGAAAATGAAAGGAAAAATATCAGTTCAAATTATCGGAATTACTTATCACTTTACGAATGAAGCAAATTTTAGTCCGTAAAAACTGACAAAAAATTTTAAAAAATTAAAACCCATCACGGTATGGATTTTTAAAAATAACATCTTTAATTATAACTGGTGAAACGAGTGCAATTTTGTAAAATATAAAACAGAGAATATTACGAAAACCAACTGTGGAAAATTTAATGCAACATTTTGTTCATCTCCTCAGTCAATTAAAATATATGTTCGGCAATATCTATAGTTTTATTTCTTTTAAATCTAATTTAAATAATACTGTCTTTCCAGTGTATAATTTCCTGACTGCACAATATTCAATTTGAAGGTAAATTTCATGGCATTATATATTAGCAATGGGTACAAAAATCCATAAAATTTAAACTCATGCAGATATTTGGAATTTGAAATAATATATGATTGCAAAGGACTTAATTATACAATTTAAAAAATACCAAGTTTCCGAAATCCGACAATAAATATTACTTCGCAGTATAATTTATCTCCTTATATGGTAAAATATTCTTAATATGAATATTTTTTTAAAAAAATGTCCTCGTTGGCCATGGTTGACCGATGTCCACGTGCTCTGTGATATTGTCAATAGCGAGGCTCCTTTGTTTCTATTGATAGTTCAGACTAGATGTTTATATTCGTCTTTGTGTTTTATGATGTACCAAGGTCCACTGTCTCTGTGATTATGTCAATAGCGTGCGTTATTAGTTTGTAATCATAGCTCAGAATAGATGTGTGTGCGTCATTAGTTTCCATTGATAGTTCAGACTAGATGTTCGAATGCGTCTTCGTTGTTGATGAGCTACTAATGTCCTCGGTTTCCGTGATATTCACAATATTGTGTGTTCTTAGTTTGTATTGATAGTTCAGACTAGAAGTATACGTGAGTCTTCTTTGTCCATGACGTACCAATGTCCACGGTCTTCCTGATATAGTCTATACAGTGGGTCCTTAGTTTGTGCTGGTAATTCAGGCTGCATGCGTAAATGAGTCATTGTTGTTTATGACGCATTAATGTCCATGGTCTGCGTGATATTGCCAATAGTGTGATTCCCTACATTGTATTGATAGTTCAGACTAAATGTGTAAATACGTCTCCGTTTTCCATAAGGTACCACTGTTCAGTCTCCGTGATTTTATCAACAGTGTGCGTCCTTAGTTTGTGTTTATTGTTGAGACTAGAAGTATAAATAAGTCTTTATTGTCATTAACGTTCCAATGTAAACGGTCTCCGTGTTTTGCCAATATTGAGCGTCTTTAGTTTATATTGATAGATCAGGCTAGATGTGCAAATAAGTCTTCATTATCCATGACGTACCAATGTCCACTGTCTCTGTGATATCGTCAATAGTGTGTCCTTTGTTTGTATTGATAGTTCAGACTAGATGTGTATATTCATCTTGGTTGTCCATTACGTATCAATGTCCAGTCTCCTTGATTTTGTGAATAGTGTGCGTCCTTAATTAGGATTGATTTATAAGACTAGACTAGATGTGAAAAAATGTCATTGTTAGTCAAAATGTACAATGTCCACGGTCTCCATAATTTTGCCAATAGCGTGCGTACTTAATTTGTATTGATAGTTCATAATAGATGTGTGCGTCCTTAGTTTCTATTGACAGTTTAGAATAGATGTGCGAATGCGTCTTGCATGATGTATTGATAGTTCAGACTTCGATGCCCATGGCGCTCTAATGTCCACGGTCTCCGTGTATTTGTCATTAGTGAGCGTCCTTAATTTGTAGTGATAGTTCACACTAGACTAGATATGTAAACATGTCCATGTTGGTCATGATGTACCAATGTCAACGGTATCCGCGATTGTGTCAATAGTGTTCTTATTATAGCCTTACACAGCACAAATTGTGTTACTTTATTTACAAAAATAGATATATTTCTCTTTCAAATAAACGGCTTCGCAGCTGAAACAAAACATTTAATTTGTATATTGATTGACTGTTATGTCTATTTACCATTTCACCTTTAGAACGCCTTGTGTATAGAGCGCCTTGTGTATATGTCATGAGCCGTACAAACGCGTTTAATATTTTGTAATATTGATATAGAATCATGTGTGATATTATCTCCCTCTATGTCGCTGTCTTTATCGCTATGTCTAATTAAACGCCAGTTTGTTATGCTGCTTTCAAAAGCTATGTAATTACACAAACACACTCACACAGATATACTTTCATGCACAGACTGATCTGTTGTCGTGATATACTATTATAACGACATTTCTTCAGCTTAGCACCCCTATGCCATATGCAATTCTGATAGAAATATAAACTTTTGGACAATATTTCACACTGAGGAAATGCATCGCTCTCTTCCATATTTTGTGAAGCGGTAGTGAAGTCTAATGATGCGAAGAAACCAAGAATGTACTAAAATTAAGTATTCGGAAGATCACTACACACACACACACACACACAGATATATATATATATATATATATATATATATATATATATATATATATATATATATATATATATATATATATATATATATATATATATATATATATAGATTAAGATATAGATATATGTGTGTGTGTATGCAAACGTTCAAATTACGTGTTTCATGTTGTTTTTTTTTTATTGCGAACAATGTTTGAATTACGAAACTGAGAACACACCTAAGAGTTGTATGAAACTGTAAATGTTTAGTGACTACAACATCTAAGAGAAACGATTTCATTTTCGTATTTCATGATGCGTCGTTTACATCTATTTCTAAACTTGTCTACTATACATTGTCCTTGATGATGGTGTGTAATCGAACGGATACAAAACTCATCCTTTACTGAGATCTCCGGGTTCGGCTTATAGCTTTGAGTTGTATAAATGAAAGTCATTGACTGATCTGCACAACTTTAAAAAATATAACTACCCTGTCCTGTACATTCAAAATTAACTCAGCATACACAACTTGTTAAAGGAGATCGAATGGAAGAACATGAATTTTATACAAAAAACTGATGCACTATTCGTATTACAAAATGACTCGGCAAATTCACCAGACGACATGTATCCATTTGAATAAAGCATATATGAAGTATATATATATATATATATATATATATATATATATATATATATATATATATATATATATATATATATATATATATATATATATATATATATATATATATATATCTTGGAGTATTTACTTGTTCCCAGCTTGGGAGGATAGGAAAAGACGATATAATTTATAATATCTAACTCAAAATATCTGCCCAAGGAGGTCAGAGTTTGTTCAGAAATGTTTTCTCCTTTGTCTATGAAACTAATTAGATCTTACTCTTTAACTCACAAAACAGGATCATATACCTTTAATACAACTAACCATTCAAATTCTTTCAAATTATTTTATCAAATGGACCACTAAGTTACGTTGATAATCTGTGTTTGTGTTTGAGTTTTTTTAACGTAGCGTTAACAATTTTTCAGTCATATATCGTTACGATGTCTACAGTGTGGCAGTTTTAGTGATGTCTAGAACTGAGGCATCCTGTCGCAGACACGTAACATGATGTCCTACCCAGTCACATTTTCCTGACACCAGGCCGACCAGTCCAACACTAACCTCTTAATGCTGAATGCCAAGCGAGGCAGCTGTTAGTACCATTTTTGTAGGTCTTTCGTATGACTCGGCAGGAGATCGAATCGACTACCTCCCGCATCCAAGGCGGACGCTTTAACCAATAAGCCACCGGATAGGTCTCTTAGATAATCTGAATACGTAATATTGACTGCGGAATTTGTGTAGAATATTTTAAATGAAGGAGATCAACAAAATGTATACCCATTAAATTGATGTGTTTATACATTTTTATGCAATAGCTACGTGCGTGTCTCGTAGGCCTTTCATGTATATACAATACAGGTTTTTGTGCAGGATTTCATTGAAACCAATCTTCTTTGATTGGGTTTTCTGACAAACATTGACATCTAATTGAACATACACACACAGATTTATGTATGTATGTATGTATGTATGTATGTATGTATGTATGTATGTATGTATGTATGTATGTATGTATGTATGTATGTATGTATGTATGTATGTATGTATGTATGTATGTATGTATGTATGTATGTATGTATGTATGTATGTATGTATGTATGTATGTATGTATGTATGTATGTATGTATGTATGTATGATATATATATATATATATATATATATATATATATATATATATATATATATATATATATATATATATATATATATATATATATATATAGAGAGAGAGAGAGAGAGAGAGAGAGAGAGAGAGAGAGAGAGAGAGAGAGTTCTGTACATATCAATGTTCAGTCTCTTTGATTTTGTCAATAATGTGAGTCCTTATTTTCGATTGATTCTTGAGATATGACGATATGATTTCATCTCTCTCTCTCTCTCTCACACACACACACACACACACACAGTTTCTGATTTCATTGATTATATGATGGTTTAAGATTTAGTAGAATAGGTTCATGTCATATATAAATTGTTATCGATATTATTAATTTGTATACACTTACATTATTACAATACATATTTTGATACATGAGTATATTAACAATCCCAGTACGGTGCTTCCGTCTAAACACATCTGTGAACAGAATGGAATCACCAGCCTGTCACATTGTTTTCAGAAGTAACAATTATGGATTGATGCCTTTATTGGAGACACGATAATCATAATGTGATCGGCTTTTTCTTCTGGAAACGGTTAATGATATTTCTGAAATGAAAATAAAAAGAACCACATACAGCTTAATAATGTTTCTATAATGGGGGTAACAGCTGGCCATGACGTCACATTGTCTACAGTTTCCTTGTTGTGGTCAATAGTTATGTGTGTCCATAGTTTGCATGAATTATGCAGACTATTTGTTTAAATGTCCTCGATTACATTGCAAGCTTTCATATTCCTTAGAACTGATAATACAGTTCCCTCCTTGATATATCACCATTTTCTATTAATTTACTGCCAAAAATTTATTTCTTTTCGCTCTATGATCGTCAGAACAAATGTCCCCGGTACGCTGTCCCATACTCGAGTCTTCGATACTCACCAAAAACAACAATGTGCGTGTGTGTATGTGTGTGTGTGTGTATGTGTGTACAAAATTTCATATTATAAATATATTTGATAGTTATGTTGATGAGGTGGGTCTGATTCGTAGTAAAGGAACCTGGTTGTGGCTAGCAAAATTCAATTACACGACCTTACGTCAATCCCAGCCTTTCTGAAATCATTATGAACAAAGTTTTGCTCCTCAAAAAATTCAAACCTATTTCGTCTTTTTAATAACGTCTCGCACCGTCATAAATTACAGCGTGGCGAAGCTTAAAAGGTATGGCATACGGCATTTTAAATTTTCCGACATGATGATGCTATATCGGCATGTGTGCCGCTATTGAGTGTGACGTCGATCGATCGATCGATCGATCGATCGATCGAGAGAGAGAGAGAGAGAGAGAGAGAGAGAGAGAGAGAGAGAGAGAGAGAGAGAGAGAGAGAGAGAGAGAGAGAGAGAGAGAGAGAGTCGTGCAGACATTAATCTAATGTAGCCTCTTTGTATTTTACTTTCAATTGGAAATTTGAGGGATATTATTCATGGCGTTTTTTATTATTTCAGTTCATCAAATCTTATTCTTTTCCATTATGCTTTACTCGACATTCTACTTATGGTTCAAATGACTTATTATAGTGTGCGGCTTCCTCTTTCATTTTCGATTGAGAGTGGTGAGTGGTTTAATTCCATTGTTCACACTACCATTACTCAGTGCAATGTATATTCAGGATGTAAGTGACACGAAAAGTCTTTTGTTGGACGTCTGCCCATAAAAAGTAGATTCCGAGTATTGTGAAACTGGCGCGAGACGGTGGAATCGACATTTAAATAGAGGTAGTGTCTTATTCTTTTCCATTATATTCTACTTACTGTTTCAATGACATTTCTGAGTGTACGGTAGCCTCTTTCAGTTTCGACCTAATTCCTTTGTTTGCACTAACATTACCTACTGCAATGTATATTTACATGAATGCATGGTTAACAAACTTATTACAAAGTCACTGTGACCTATATATTACTTTCTTCTGCTCATATCCAATATGTTTGCACTCTGTATGTATTTATTTCCGAATACAGCTCTTTTAATGCTGAATTCGTAAAACTATTAGATTACAAGTATCTCGATTAGTACAAAACCCTTGCCGCAAAAGAATAACACGTTGTTTAGCAATTCGCATTTTAATAACATTTTGTGGTTTGCTTATGAGTAAAATTTCACACACACACACACACACACACACACACACACACACACACACATATATATATATATATATATATATATATATATATATATATATATATATATATATATATATATATATATATATATATATATATATATATATATATCTGTCTATATTTATTAAACTTAATGACGGAGAGCAACGTGACGAGTACTATATTCTAGTCGAGAAAGCAAGTGACTGAGATATTTCACCCTTCGCTCACTTTGATTAAATTTTGTGTTTGAAGTTAATTTTTAAAGTTTTCTCACTAAATCGGGAAATCATTTTAAGACCAGAACAGCCGCTATAGTCTTACCGAATGAACACAAACAATCCTCATGAAGGATACAATTGTATCTTCTAAAACAAAATCAATATTATCTACCGTTTGTATGCAATATTGAGAAAACAGTAACCGGCAGTATAAAGACTGAAACTTTAAGTCAATTTTGTCTAAGAAAATAAATTGTGCTGGTGACACATATTAAATACTACCGTCCGTTCATGTGTGCCTTTTGGTGAAAACATTAGCATAAACAACAAAAAAATTCATTATAAATAAACCCTTAAAATACTTAGAAAGATAAAGGAAATAAGAAAACGTAAGAGGTTAGGAAATGAATAGTTCTAAAACTTTTTTCAGGAACTCAAAACTCCCTGAGCTTCCTCGTTATAAATGTAAAATATTATGTTCAGCATTTGTTTTATTTTCCAAAAATTTGTTTTGATATTTGATCCAATTAAAATGTTATATGGACATTCGAAGAAATTCTACACTTTCAAAATTTATGAATCTCCAGTATTGTTTCTAAAGCCGCTGTAGCTCAATAGGTAGAGCAACGGATTCGTAATCCATAGTTCGTGGGTTAGGTTCCCCTGCAGGCCAGCCCGCTTAGTACAACTCAGTTTGTCTGAGGAAAAGACACTTTGATCTAATTTTCAAAGGCATGATATATGATAAGTATTAAAAGTGCCATTAAATCAAAGTAATATTTTAGAATTAAAAATGTTAACTATTTCCCCGTCCACAATTTCAGGCAACATGGATGTTCGGATTCTGGATTACTACCTTCCTCTGTCTAGGCGCCTTTCCAGAATCCTAAATGAGGTAGGGTATTCACGAGAAGATCGAGAACGGAAGGTCACAGCTGCCAATTACATCGAGGTATTTACGAATGTGGCTAACGACTTCGCAAAAGCTGGATTACATGAGAACTGGTATTCGCAGCACGCAAGAGAAAATAACGCCAAGACTAGCTTTGCGGATGAGGTATTTGTGAATTTATTTCACGAATTCGTACAATTTGGATTAAGGCACTACATGTTTGGTAGTAGATCAGAGGGATCCACGGGACCTGGCCTTCATTCCGATAGAGATGTTTTGCTTCAATATGATGGTTTCAAAACAGTTGAAGATTTATTTGATTGTGACCCAGGCAGACTTAATTTTCTTATGTTAAAGGATTCTTCTACTCATCCTGGGTATGTTAAATTGGCAAAAGTTGATATATTTAACCGTTCGTTGATTTCCCACATCTTAAGGTATAGAACAGATTTACATGGCAATGACATCCTTTCTAAAAATTGTTTTGACAACATTTTGAATTTTTCGTATTATTTGGGACTTCTACCAGATTACGAACAAACTGGCCCAGCAATACATATTCCAGCTGCAAACAAGATATATTCGTGTGACACGGTTATTGCTGTTAGATTCTCGAGATGGCCTCGGGAGGGATATGAATGGTTCCTGCGTTATCGTCCCTATGGATGGCCAACACTGGAGCAAATACAGACCTCGAGCAAATATGGATGTTTCGCAACACAGATAGGACATCCTTGTAGCTTTGAACAAGATTTGGAATGGAGATTATCATTCTCTATTGCAGAAAGAGAACTCGTGAGGTCCTTTGACGACACAACGATGTATGTTTATATTTTGCTGAAAATGGTCAAGAAAACATTCATCCAGCCTGTTATAGGAGACAAATTTTCAAGTTACCACTGCAAAGTTTGTATGTTATGGATGAGAGAAAAAACACCCCAGGAACTTTGGCGCACAGGAAATCTTCTTCTCTGTCTTCATCTTTGTCTTAGACAACTATATGAGTGGGCCAGTCTAGGATGTTGTCCTGACTATTTCATTGTGAGTAACAATCTGTATGACAGAAATATATTCGGGCAGACACGTGTTCAGTTGCAGCGAATACTTGGAGACCTTCTCTCGCAGAACTGTAGATTTTTGTTGGGCATAGAATGTTGTGAAATCGGAGAGCTTTTAGCAAACGGGCTTACTTCTGTGGACAGAGGTTGTCAGATAACAGTAACTGAAGGGGCGTTGGTTGAAGTGGATTGTGATTATAGATTAATTGCGGGCCATGAAAGTTATTGTCGATACTTATTTATGAACTTCACAATGGCAAATCATATCAGTTTATTTAAGTATCTCATAAAAATACAGCATGCTATTCAACATGCACCACTCTGTATCCATGCTCCATTAAGGCATATTTTGATTTTACTGTTTGCACAACTTGGATTTTACCTTGCCGTGGTCTATGCAGAGCACACACAGTTGTGGTCCGAGGAGGAAATAATGAACATTTTGACTTTGATATCAATATGTCTTTATAACGGTGTACATTCAGATGCTTCGTCCGTAAGACTTAAGGTGTGTGGAATGGCGCTTAAATTCGGGGACTGTGACTCTGCAGAGGTCTGTCTGCAAGGGATCAGTGACAAGCAGTCAAGTTACACATACATTTTGTCTCTAGATGAAGCCCAAATCATAAGAGGCGTAGTATCAAACACACAAAAACTCCTTTCAGAGAGATATAGCACTGAAGAACTGCTACAATATCGGATATCCTTTTGCGTAGTCTACCAAAGGTCAGAGATTTCCATTACCCCACACCCTCTTAGAATGGAGATGTTTAGGTCTGTTGGTTTACCACCTGGTTGTAGGGTTCTCTGTAAACATTTTTGGTATGACTGGGCTGTAGTGGATTCCGTCTTTTGTCTACACTTCCTGCAATATCTGAATTTCTGTAGGCAAGGAAAGAGGAGACACAAACAGGCTGCCATGAACAACATGTGGCACTTGACCAAGACGGAGCCAATCATTCAACACGGAGAGACTAGGCTTAATCTGTTTGGCTATTGTCTTATTCAAGAGGACAAACACCGGGCTGCTTATAAATGCTTCACAGAATCCCTAGGAATCCGTCCTTATCACAACTCGGCTAAATTCTACCTGGGGATTCTGTTTCAAAAGGTCTTTGCTGCACGCAGGATACAAGAAGCTGGAATAAATTAAATATCAACAATCACAAGAATGACATTTGTAATTTGGTTTCTTGGTTTGTTTCTTTTTGTTTTTGTTTTCAGTGGAATATTAAACGAGATAATGGACAGACTATATATAAATTCGATCCATTGATCAAGATTTATGATTTCCAGGAAATTATATATATATATATATATATATATATATATATATATATATATATATATATATATATATATATATATATATATATATATATATATATATATATATATATATATATATATATATATATATGATTTTCGGGAGCTTTGTTGGTTTGTGTATGAACTTTACCAAATTTTTCTAAGCCACTAAATATTTTATTGTTTATTGAGTACGTGTTTTATATGCTTCCAGGTAGTGTGTGATAAATGTTTTGCCAGGGGGATGGCATCTTATTGTCAGTTCCTTAGCTATCATATCAACACATTAACATTAAATTGCGGGCTTCTGTATCAACGCATGGCATTATTCTCTTTAGATTCTCTTGTGTCAGCACGATGACTCTCATCACACTTTATAGTTGTTATATTGCAACATATATTACAATTAACATACACACAGCATCACCCCACTTTATAGTTGTTATATTGCTCTTGTGGGGATTAACGCCATTTTTCAGCACAAGATAGGCTATACATGGCGGCCAGTATTAATGGTGGTGGAAGAAACCGGAAAAATCACCAAAAAGAACCAAAGACCCATGAGAAGCTATTGGCCAGCTTTCTCACACATCCACATTTGCCGAATCTTAGACTCGAACCCACATAGACAGGTGAAATGGCAGTGATCCTTAATGGACAGCGCTTTAGACCATTTGGCGTCTCTTGGCCCATGTTGTATTGCAGCTTATACAAATAATATTCACACCGCATCACCCCACTTAATAGTTGTTTTATTGCAACGTATGCAACAATTAACATACACGCAGCAGCACCCCAATATATAGTTGTTATATTGCAACTTATACAACTAATATACACAGAGCATCACCCCACTTTATAGTTGTTTTAATGCAACTTATACAACATTTATATATGTAGAGAGAGAGAGAGAGAGAGAGAGAGAGAGAGAGAGAGAGAGAATCGTAACTTTTGTTCAAGTTTGTTTCCTCGTTCGTCTCAAGCATATTTTATTGGAAGTAATTTATTTACGAATAAATGAGCTTTGTCATGTGTCGAATTTTGAAGACTTACTGAGACTGTAGATTAAATAAACTGTAATTTGAAGTTACCATATTTAATCCAGAAAGATCTTGAGATAGTTCACTGATTATTTCTTTGTTTCATCTCTGAACAAATAAATATGTTATGTTAAGCTTCAATGGCATTTGACCAGGTTCTTTAAGCGGTACAGTGAAATACGTGCGAGAAAAACTCGACCGTAACTGTTCAAAAGGGGTGCACGTCAAATAATCGTTTTTTTAAGGAAGCTAATTGCAGCATATTTTAGGCTAGTGAAGGCTGATGATAGACATGATTTTTTTGACTAAAATTTTATGAACAGTTATTTCCGATTGGTCAGGGAAATTAAGAGAGTACATTTTGGGAAACCAATTAGAGCTACCACTTGCTAAAATTCTTTAGTCCAATTTTTCTTGACTCCATAAGAGTCCTCCTCGCATTTATTAGTCCTAATAAATGCGAGGTGGCCTCTTATGGATATCAGTTCCAGTCCGATTTACCTCCCTTGAAAAATGTTGTCTCACATTTTTGTGTAAAAGTACCGTACCATTATAGTAAACACGAATAATATTTCCTTAACATATTGTTACAGTTATTTGGATAGAGTTTCGCAAAAGTTATTTTTTTTCTTCTTTAAACGCATAAGGATATGCATATCTGCGACACATCTGTGATTTGAGAACAACTCAAAGATGGTTTACATGATTCCAAAGGAAGTAATTATGACTGTCCGTTACATCACCTATAAACTCGCAATCGCAAGAATTATACTGGCCAAATATCATTGAATTTCACTAAAATTGTCTTCACACACGTACTTTGGCTTCCCATTCCAATGTAAACACATGACTTGAGAATTTAATACTTTGACAATAAATTCAATGATAATGACGACAATGATCTTCAATCCTCGCTCACGAGATATTTGCATAAGTAATCGCAAAACTAACGTAAACAATACATATTTTTGGTACTTACAACTATCTGCAGTTCCACATATTGGCATTAGTTTGATTAAGGGATAATGACCTATGGTGTCAGTCTTGCATGTTAAGGAAGCGATCAGCATAAAATAGGAGAGAGAGCACGAACTAAACCAAAAGGATCGGGTTGTAATGTGAATGGGATCATAACAAACCAAAACGATAGGCATGTAATGGGAATGGGCTCATAACAAACCAAAACGATCTTCGTGTAATGGAAAAAGGGGCTCATAACAACCAAAACGATCTGCGTGTAATGAAAAAAGGGGCTCATAACAAACCAAAACGATCTGCGTGTAATGGAAAAAGGGGCCCATAACAAACTAAAAAAACGATCTGCGTGTAATGGAAAAAGGGGCTCATAACAAACCAACACGATCTGCGTGCAAT